AAACTGATGAAACGACACCTGTTTGTAACGCTCTGGTTGACTTCAAACTTAAGGCTGTTAACGACTCTGACTCCGTGTCACCGAGTCGACTTTATTTGTATTTGTGGTGTTTAGCTGCTTCAGTGTTTGACGCTCCAGGACTGCACGACTGTGTGAGACAGAAAAGGAGGATGGAGCTGTCGTCGCTGTCGGCCGGTGGCGCCGATCGGCCTGCGTTTGTTTTCTCACAGCGTTCCTGCTTCACATCGGCCTGGTGCGATGAGCAGATGAGCGTGGCTGGCTGTGGTTGCCGTAGCGTTTTGCTATCTGAGCAAATGAAACGGCTCGTTTTAAAAATGTGTTTACGACAATTTTTCTGTTTGTGGTGAAACTCGTGGAGTTCGTCATGTGACCTGGGCGCTGGCAGCAGATGGCGTTCACCCCAGTGAACCTGTTTGTGTTGCAGGTGTGTCGTCGTGCTGCTTCACCCGAAGAAGAACAAACAGAGTCACATCATCAGCGCCTCCAGGTACGCCGACCCCGAGCTCAGGGTGGACCCTCGAGGTCAGGACAGAAGTGTTGACCTGTGTTGTGTATTTCAGGAAACCCTTCAGTGCGTTGGCGTTCTCTCACGATGGGAAGCACCTGGTCACCGGTGAGGTAAGAACCTACACAGCTGACTCCGCCCGTCCTACCTCCCCCACATGAAGACGGCGTGCAGGTAACTCGGTGTGGAGCCGGTGAAGCTCCCGGGGTTCACGGTGATGAGCACGTCGAGGCATTCTCAAGCCAGCCAGGAGATGCGTGTCCTGGGACCGCCTGGCAGCAGCGGGCCCTGCGCGTCCTGGTTCTAATGTAGAGGAGTTGTTCTCAGCACAAAACGCGAGCACACACAGACCTGTCAGGCCGATACTCGTGTGTTTGCTCCACGAGCTGTTTATTCAAAGCAGGAAGCAGAGAAACGAGCCTCCTCCCCACAGGAACAAACACGCATCACACCTGTTACCTGTTCTTCTCTCTCAGAGCGGTCACATGCCCTGCGTGCGGGTCTGGGAGCTCGATGGAGGTCAGGTGGCCGAGGTTCAGTGTCACAAGTACGGCATTTCCTGCGTGGCGTTCTCCACCAACAGCTCCTACATCGTCTCTGTGGGATACCAGCACGACATGACTGTGAGCGTGTGGGACTGGAAGGTGAGCACACACACACACACACACACACACACACTGCTCACCTGGTCATGAACTAAAGCAGCCACCAGAGGGCAGAGTCGAGCTGCGTGTGTCACAGCAGGGTGTAAAAATTCGACTGTAAATGTCGCTCTGACTCTGTGCTGTGATGAAGAAGGCAGCGATGCTCAGACTGATGAAGCAGGCGAGATGAGTTTCCTGTTGAGCAGCTGTGTGCCTGACTTCATCACAGGACGCCTCTGCCTGCCGTGGGTCAGCTGATCCATCGTTACACATAACTTACAGATCAGACTGTTTGTGTGATACTGCAGTCTCTGTAACGCCAGCTGCTCAGCTGACAGGATCAGAGCGTGCTCATGTGTCCCAGCAGAACATT